CAATCTTCCATGTAGTGCAAGATATAGGGTAAGTGGCTTGCATTGGTGTAGCTAGTTATTCTCATGAATGCATATGGGAAATTTTGGTGGGGTCTGAAGGAAAATTTGGACTAAATTTCCAGTACAGTGTTTGGAGTGGCATTAACTATCTATGAAAAATTAGATAGGCACTAGTGAAAGTGAACCAAAGCCATCTGGTAGAATGGAAGTGCTAAGGTAAGTAGCAGTAATTCATTCTTTTATAAAATGTTGCTAACCTCTCTGCATTATAATCTTTAACGTAGTGACAATCATGTGAGACACAGGTAAACTGCATTACAATAACTCTTTGCTGTCTGTGGGAAGCGATGTTAGATCTAACTGATTTTAAAATCAGTAGCCTGATTTCCACTAAATTTTTTACAACTAATAAAATGTGTTTGTGAAAAGTGCTAGATTGAGACCACTGGAACCTGAAGCCCTTTACTCATAGAATGTATACAGTCATGGTGATGAAAGCTTCCCCAGGCCTGTGATTCAGGCCTGTGCTTGAGGGATCACTTCTGGGGCTGAGAAAGTAATTCAGTCTCTGACTATTCAGTCAGTGAGTTATCTGTATTATTTTCTATGACAATTACATTCACCTCAGTTTGCCTTTTGGATGTTATGCTGTCTGACTGCATAGAATTAAAGGAGGTTGTTAGGAGGGAACTGTTGGGACTCCAGAGAGAATACAAAGGGTCCTTAAAGAGACAGTGAAAGAGCCATTAATTGGAAAATACCAATCTGCTTGGGCTCAATCAGTATATCAGGTTAATTTTTCCCAGGCCCAAGCCTAGGGCCAAAGGGGTACTTAACTTCTGATGCATAGGCAGCAAGTCGGGGAGGAAGGGAGGCCGGGGAGAGGAATACGTGTAGTCAATAGGATTAACCAATGATCTAGGCTTATCGGTCAATCCTGTAGTCATCTACATGCTGACATCCCTGCCCAGCAGTAGAAATGGCAGGGCTGAGTTGAACTTACACAAAACTTGCAAAGAAAGAATAAAGTTTAGGTAAGGCCAGATATATAGACCTTTTATGGTTTTATGCCCTTTCTCTCAATGCTGTACACCTTGAGTGAATAAATCCATGATGTTCAACATGCTAGCCACTAGCCACATGTGGCTATTTGGCTGGTTGAACTGCTATAGTGATTACTGCTTCAAAACTGGTCAGACACCATAGGAATAAACAATTCCTTGTTTTGAAAAGTGTTTTGAGTCACTTTAATCAGCCCATGTCAGTGGTCCTGGAGGAAATGGGATTACAGTAGATAAACTCAGTTTGGCCTGTTATATTAACATAGTTGGTAAATAAGTTTCAGAGGGGTAGCTGTGTTAGTCTGTAGCTAAAAAATCTTAAGAAAGAATAGTCTTGCAGCACCTTAGAGACTAACAAAAAATGTAGAGGGTGGTATGAGCTTTTGTGGGCACAACCCGTTTCTTCAAATGAAAGGGTATGCAGTCCAGAGAGCAGTTCTGAGAAAGGTAGGGTATGTGGCTCCACCCAAAAAGGGGGAAAAGTAATAAACTCAACCAGATGGATGCACTCATGAGGGATTAAAAGGGGTCTGAAGCATAGCTTACCTGAAACTATGATACAGTCCTTGGTCTTTTTGCTTAGACTAATGAGAATGCAGATTGAGAATCTAAATAAAATAGGACTAAGACCTGAAATAGCTTATCATGTTCATAGTTTTGGTTTCCAGAGAATGTAATTTTGAAAAAGAGAATTGTGTAGCCTGAGTTGCAATAATAAGAACAAAAATCTCACTGTTTTTAATAGAACTTTTCTTTAAATACTGAGAAACTAAGTAGTTTTGAGGTGAAAGAATCCACCATTTCCATATTTATGGCATTTCTGCTCTAAATATTGGCTTCATGTTTGTCATTTTGTGCTTTGTGTGGTTTTTTTGGGCCTCCAATGCGAAGGATTAAAAGCAAGGAGCAATATATGAGACTAAATTACCAGTTGGCTTTAACTAATTAAAAACTGCTGAAAGAATTCTATTTTCACATTTAAAAATCGCTCAACCAGCTGTACTGTTGTTCTTTTACGATTCACCATCTCACCTTCTTATTCATTGAATATTGTATATTGTGCTTGTTAGGGAGTTATACTTGAAAACATGACATGTTGCTGTTCTAGGTTAGTGTTGCTTTTGGGATCTTCATAATTATTCCATATTTAATTTCTCACTGTAGTGAATCCCACATAGTAAATTATCTGTGCAGCATCTAAAACACATAAGAGCTACTCTAAAAGTCTTTTAAATCAATGGAAAGACATGCTTAACTTCATTCACTGTGCTTAACTTCATTCACTCTGGGTAGTTTTACTATAGTCAAGTTTCGCGTGCGTGAATCTTTGCTGGAACCCATTCCAGTTATTTATATATGCAATAATTACCTACATGGCATAAAACACAAAGTATAGACCTGCTAGGTTGTTGATATTATTTCCAGTATACATGCTAAACAACGCAAATAGGGGAATTAACATGAATAAATATATGAGAATTTCTGTATCAAGTTCCTTTGTTGTGATCAAGTCAAGACTGTCTCTTTAAATAAAGGCATAGAAAGATATTGTTGTACAATAGATTTTGAAGAATTATACCTAAAACTTTTATCATTACTTGTTTCCATCTTTCATCCATCATTTTATTTTATTTTTTTCTGCTTTCTAATGGAGATGCTTAAATTAGAGGTAATTTTTTGTTGAAAGCTTTTTATCATTATATTGTAATTCTGTGGCTTCAAGATATCATCAAGATCAACATGTGTTCCTGCTTACTGATTTATTAATCAATTAAACAGATCAGCCAGCAAGTATTTTAAACAATTACTCAGCCTCGCTTTGTTGCTGTTTATTAACTAATCATAATTTTCTTTTTAACAGTAGCTGGCAGAACTATATCATGGAATATATTTACAGTAAATTTTTTATGTAGGTTCTTCTCCTTTTTTCTGGTTTATAAAGCTGCAACTGTGTTTGACAAATTTGTGCACATTTTTACATTTATTCTATCACTTCTACAAAATGTCCATGCAATTTTTGGGATATTCTCACAAAACACAGCATTTGCACAGTAGAGATCTGATGTTTTTAGCAAAAACTCTGCAACTACAGTGGTATATAAAGTGTGCCATTATGAAAAGTCAGAGCTAATAGCAACATATAGTCTTACATTGTCTCTGATCTTCCCAAAATGTATCCTAGTTTATGGACAAGACAAAGTAATTTGTCTTTATTTATGAGCTAGTGCTTCTTTCTAGAAATTTTTGTTACATGCACAAAACAGTGTAAATTTTCTTGGGAGGTGCTATCCTTTTTCTAAAAAAGGAAATAATCATATTAACATCTGTTCTTGTGACCAGAAATCTGTGGCTAGAATAACTTAGGGGAAGGAAAAGCATTTACAACTAATAATGCCATTTGTTCACTATGTGTGTCAAAGGTAACACAACATGCACTTCCTACCATATTAACTTGTCCCCTGCACCATCCTCTCTCCCCCCTTCCCCACCACTTCCTGTGTGCCATGCGGAGATTTCTCTGTAGTCTGGAGTCCTTTCCAGGGTAGGTGGGTATGGGGGATATATTGTGTGTCTGTCTCACAGAAATTAACTCTTAAAGAAGAGAGATTAGGGCAGCCATTGCTATCTATTTAAGGTACTTATGCCCTCATCACAATAGTATCTGGAAACTTTACAGTCATTAACATAGTTATCCTTACATTACTCTGTCAGGTAGGGAATTGTTATCCTCACTTTACAGATGGGTAAATGACATAGGATAGATTATGACTTGTCAAACACAGACAGGATGTCTATGGCAGAAATGGGAACAGAACCTGGCATCCAAATCCCTCCTAGTGCCCTATCCACTTGACCAGCCTTCCTGGCTGGTTAGGGATCTTGACAACACAGCTGAAATGGAGCCCAAGAGATCCCAATTCCAGTGAGAGTCAGAGCCATGAGAGACACAAGGCCTCCATGTAGATCCTTTGGGATCTGCCAGGTTTGGGGGGAGGGCTCCTTGGCCTTTTCCACTGGAGAGGTCAAAAACCCATCTTTCTAATGGAATGATGGGAAAGGATCTCAGCAAAGGGATTCTTCCTCATCCCTGTCTCTGGTATTTTCCTAGGTAGTGATTTGGGCCAAAATTTGTACATAGAGTTCAAGATAATTAAACAAACATTCCTTTTTGCATGCTTTATACACCCTCGCCTCTCCTGCCCCCCGATTTCCAAACTCCTGTTTACACTGGGCTATCACAATGTAAATTATTATTAATCATATCTGTTTTTAAATTTTTTAAGGCCACAATAAATCAGCTAAGAGCTGAGCTTGCAAAAGGCCCTCAGGAAGTTGCTGTGTATGTTCAGGAACAACAAAAACTTCAAAGTTCAATTAATGAATTAACACAGAAAAACCAGGTAAGAGTTTTATTATTACTTATATTGTGAAACATATATTTATGTGAAAATGTACAATCTGGCTCTTGAGTCTCAAATTGCATTTCAGAGCTTTAACCAAAGAGTTTAGGATACTTCACTGTGGCATCAAAAGTTAAGCCTTTCCCTTATTAGCTTGAAAGGGGTAATAATTGTACAATAGTACCCTTGAAAGATTTTATCTTACATTGTAATTTTTAAAGATAGGTCTATTACAGTTATTAGAACACTGTAATTACATTATATCTCCCATTTATCTCTGTCTCTCTCTCTCTTACACACACACACACACACACACACACACACACACAATGACCCAGCTAATGCATTGGTACAGTAAACTTCCGATAATCCGGCACCTTTAGGACCCATGGGGTGCCGGATATGCCTGACTATCAGAAGGGGGGGCTATGAGGGGTCTAGAGTGAGGTGGGAGGGGATGCCACCCAAGACCCCTCATAGCCCCCCCTTAAGATAGTCTGGCTCTGCCCCAGGCGTCCCTTATTCAGCTGCTGCTGGTCAGTTTCAGCAGCAGCTGAATCAGGGATGGCTGCAATAGAGCAGCTAGGGTGCTGCCGGGTTGGTCCTTTGGCACTGAGGG